CGCCTCGCTGGCCGCAAGATTCAGATCCCAAACATCACCAAGAGCCAACGAAACTTGGGAGAACCGTTTTCCCGGCTTGAGGGCCTTGAAAATCTTTTGCCAGTGTCGCTCGCGCACCGCTTCGGATTTCATGTCGGAAAGTAACGGATTAACCTTCAGTAGCTGGCGGAGTATGTTCTGGATATGCTCAAACGCAGCGTATTGCCTCATTCGACTAGGCATTTCCTTCGTCATTCTAATAAGCCCATCGAGAGATTGTCGAAGCTTACGAGGTTGGACACTGTTCCAAAGAACGTCCCTTAGCTCATTCAGGCTTTTCCAGATAGTTGATAGGGCAGCCCAAACAGCCATAAAATCCTGAACCTCCTCAAGAATGGCAGCAAGAGCGGTTTCGGGGCTACTAGGGAGATCAAGCGCTTCTTTTGCTTTTGAGACCATCTCAAATTCGGATTGCAAGCTTTCCAGACGGGATTGGAAATGACTAAGTGTTCTGGATGCCTCTTCGGGAGGAGTGGAGCCAGATACAGGCTTTTCTTCGTTCCACTGTGAGATAATCTCGGCAATCTTGTCGTTGATTACTTTATCCTCAGCGGTAATCTTGGCCCTCAAAGCGTCGGTCTGGTCTTGGACCGTCTTGCTCCTACGCTCTAGTATATCATTGAGAGCTAGCCATTCACCGTCAACCTGCTCAACGTGCAACCAGTCGTTGGGGAACTGATAGCGCTGACGAGCAAGGGTGGCCTGACCCTGTCGGAAAAGATCGACCTCCGGTTCCCACACCCGGGCTTTGCGTTTGCATTGCTGGACAATGGTAATGAATGACACTGCATGCGCGGTTGACGATGCTTCTAACGACTGTCCCTCGAGGTCTCTTCGGGCAGCCTGGAGTTCGGCATAAACTTCTCGCATCCGGGTCCCGAGCTTTCCACCAAAATTCAGTAATATTTCCCGTTGCCATTGATCGTACTTCGCATTGACCTTAGTTTGAACTTGTTCATAATCGATCCTAATAGTACCAAAAGATCTTCTAACTTCAGACGTATCAAAAGTTGCGCGGCTTCTGCGAATCTCTTGAAGTAATTGTAACCATTGTGACAGGTCATCGCCAAGGACATCATAAACATATGAGGATTGCAGATCCCATAAAGATTGGAACTGCAGCCATTTTTCAATGTATTCGGAAATCTCTTGCAGTCTAGCTTCCACCACAGAGTAAACTTCTGTCAATTCATCGGCACAATATTGAGGAAGTGCAGAGAAATGCGTTTCAGAAAGACGAGCTTTTTCTGCATGGATTGACATCTTATATCTCGACGATTTTATTCTTTCCAAGTTACACAGAACCCCAACCCATTGATCGAAATGAGAGAACCAATTGGCTCTCGCAAATTCTAATGGGGGATCCAGGTGCATAACTTGATTCCTCATCGATATCTCGTGAAGGAGGTTGGGAAACTGGATGTTCTGGATTTGAGCTTCTTCTGCTGAATCGGAAAGTTCTCCATGGCTAATTTTGTGAGCTTGTTCATGTTTCGCTTCCTGGAATGATCGGATCCAGTGCCGAATCGCTCTACGTAGTCGATCCTGTAGAATTGACTCGACCATGTTGTTCAAGTTAGCGACCCAGAACCCGAGATTAGCATAATTTTCCAAGTTCAGTTTGTCAACGGCGATTTGAATTTGGTCAAGACGCTGACGAAAGGCATCGGCCTCGTAAGGGCAAGACTTGAGTTCAAGGATAGTTTTCTGAACGGATTCGTCGATAGAAGTCAATGTGGCAGATTTAGCTTGCAACACAGATGCTGAGAGAGCAAATTCTCGAACAAACTGAACATGCTTGCTTTCGCCTCGAGCGGGTGTAACAGAAGGGTCCACAGAGCCGTTGGCAATGCCCTGTTTGACATGAAGCTCGTACGAGTGGATGAATGATTCCCATCGCAGTGGCAGGCCCTTCATGATGAGAGCTTGAACATCATTCTGATACCCATTCAGGAGTATGGTTGCTTGTGACATCGATGCGATCGCCCGAATAGTCTGGTGCAGCGTTCGGACACTTTCCATTAAGCTGATCGCAAAAGGATATACACGCTTGGCCTCCTTGGATATGCTGTTGATTGCGTGAGGAATCTGGAAATTTAGCCAAACAAGGTTTCTAACTTCCTTGAAAAGGGCGATTATTTGTGCGTCGAAATTAACGACAAGTTCGAAGGCGTTACCAGCAGCCCTATTGCGAGTAATGTTAAATAATCGTCCAGATATCGTGATATTTCGTCTTTGAACATCTTGTAGCCAAGCTTGGTAAACGGGTCGAGTGTCGAGCTTCTTACGGAACATGTTACTTTCGGCTTGTAGCTTCTGTCCTTCGGAATGAAGATCCCAGTCTTCTCCAAGGACATCTTCTACCTTTCGCATGTACCCATCTAATTGTCGCTCGATCTGTCGTGCCCAGATAATGGCACCTGATACCGGTGGAAGATCTCGTAGCTGCGCCATTGCATGAGCTTCTGAATGGCCATACTGCTGTTTGAATCGTTCATGTAAGGCAGCGATATCCTTTTTCACATCATCGATCAATTCGGTCTGATATTTCCCAATAGCACTCCTGATCTTAGGGCGGACCAGCAAGGCATTGAATTTCGAAAATACACGGAATTTCTCGTTCGCATTCTGCGCGGTGGCAAGGCGATCCCGAAGTCGTGCAATTATCAGGTTTTCAACCCGGGATGTTCTTTCATTATACGCAGTCTCTTCCCGAATCCATCGCTCCGTGCCTTTTGGCGAAACGTCAAGAACATCGACGTCTTTCAGTGGTGCATACGCTTGCCTCACCTCTTCAACAGCATCGACATCTCCGATATCATCAAGAGCAATGGTATCAGTTTCAGTGCCTAAAGGACCGCCAGGCTGGGTTGACCTGGGGCCAAGGACATTCATAATCGTGCGTTGAAGTTGTTCGTGGTTCGTCCGGAACGTGTTGATATATTTTAGACGATCCTGTGTCTCCGCATGTTTCGACCTGACTTTAATGGGGATGAATTTCTCATTTCGACGCCTCATGGCATCACGAGCGACGTTGGTGAATTCCTTGATGTTCTCGTCCCATGCACGCCATACTACTTGGGCGGCGCGCATTAAAGAGCGGAATTCCTTAAAGTCAAGATGCATGATCGCCTTGCCATTGATTAAAGTGTGTATTCTTGAATCAAGATCTCCGGAAATGGCTTCTACAAGAGACAAAGCGCGCTTGATCGGGTACGGGCAAAGGCGGAGCTTTTTGTTCAAATGTGCGAATATCAAGTTCAACGCCTCCTGGACCTTCTGCAGAGATGTTGCTGACTGTAATTCTGGAAGAGGAAAGTCGCGAAGCAGTTGGTTGTATTTCTGCACCGTTTCTGCAGCTTCCTTTAGACCGGTATCTGCGACAAAACTCAGGGTAGCTTGGTAACGTTTAGCATGTCGGAGGATATCCATAGTCAGCTGAACCCCATCCGCTTGAAGTTGGGCCTCGATCCCCTCAAGAGCAGTTTCCATGTCGAGCCAAAAGTTGATCTCTTGAGCCGCAGAGCCGCTTTCAGGGTCGCGAGACATCTTTGTGATACTTTGAATAGACTTGATCCACCCATTAACAGTACTCTGAATACTGTTGATGACAAGGTGGTTCTCGAGCACAGCACCTGGGACAAGCTCTACCGACGGTTTCACGCCTCGGAGTTGGGCCTCATCTAATGCCGACTGCACTATTTCATGCATGGGGAGGTTCAAAGCCGGGATTTCTATATTTTGCTGAAGATGCAGCAGGCTAAGTTCGAGCTCGGCGATCTTTTTCTTCGCACCTGGTACACCAGTTTTGGCGTCCGCGTCTCCTTTCGTTTTGGAAGCATCTTGACCCCTTGTGTACGCTTCAAAATATGGCGCTAGGGCGAGATGGACAAAGGAATGGAGGACTTCATACGGTGAAGTTGCAGGGCCCTGAGATATGGCCGTGTTACTCGAAGCAGAAAACCCCGGTAATGTGAGAACCTGGACCTGTGATGAGACAGGGATCGCGGGATCAAGTGGCGATGGTGATTTAAGAAACGCGACTGCGGCAACCGTATTTGATGCTATTGATATCTCCGAGTTAAGAGTGTAGATGTATTGGGTGGATGAAGCTTCAACAAAAATGAGAAATTCGTCAGCTTCTCAATCCTAGCATCAGCGTTGGAGGTTGCATCATTACATACAAGGTTCCTCTTCTGTTCCATTAGTGTCCTCCACTTCAGCGACTTCCTTGTGAGCGTAGATCGCGGTCTGCGACTCGGAAGCGAATCGACTGCATCTTTGGAGTGTTTCCGAATATTTTGACGTTGACAGCAAGCTTCCGGTGCTCTCTAAATCTTTCCTTAGCGCCCCTAGAGTCCCCTGGAGGACTTCCGCCAGGTGTTGGACAACGATAGTTGGATCCGTAGTCGGGAACGTTGTTGGCGGAGCGAGGCCATTTGACACCCCTTGCGAAGCGACCTCCATCCTCTGGTACCCACGAACCCTAACTAGTCCCACGGGTTCATCGAAAAGGTGAACTTAAGAGAAAGGATCCAGGGTCATATGTACATCGACCGATAATGTGGTGGTCGTTAGAATCATGTAAAAGAGAAGTAAAAGAGTCAAGCTCTCCTGTTTGACAATGCTGGATCTCCCCTGCTTCAACTTTTTGGTGGACGCGGCGTGTTTACACCATGCAGGTCACGGGACTCGGGCCGTCAGGGGGTGTGGTTAAATTAGAGGCCCGGCTTCGCTAGTCCAATTACAGCTTAGTGGATCCTGAAACGTGGTTCGTGGTTCCGTGAGTTGATGACTAATGACGTGGCTCCCTTTATTTTGAACCATTCCCTTGCTCTTCAAAAACGATTTGCTGTACGGAGAACGCGGAGTACTCCGTACGGATATGGTGTACAGAGCATGAACTGACGGAGCCGACATCCGTACCTTTTTGTTAAAGAAAAAGAAAAATAAAAGAAAAAGAAAAGGGAAAAGCTCATTTCCATTCAATAACTACTCCGTAGGATAGCCTTTATTCGTTTCCAGCTTCGCTTTGACCTGCCTGGCAATTACATCCATATATCTCCCGGAATCTGAATGGCGGCAAGCCCTCAAGTTTCGAAAGAGCTGCCTCGCTCGCCTTCAGCTTAGCATAACGAGACGAAGAGGCTACGCCCTCAGCCACTACTTCATCATGCACGATAACAGCTGCAAGCACCCGCGTGCCTGGCCCATCAACATATGGCACTTCGCCAGCTTTCAAGCAGTAATTTGAACAGCCAAAGTCGATGGCCAGCCTGTTATGTAGATACGTCTGCAATATTGTTAGCCTGGATTCCACGTCTCTTTGAGCCCAGAAACTTAACCGTTGGGTGTTTGTTTGCGTAGGTGTCGTAAATGGTCATGTCTTCGAAATGCTTCTTGAGGAATTTCTGGAAGAATTCCTCGACTACCTCAAAGCTGAAGCCTGAGTCAATAAATATTGCGCCAATATACGCTTCTACCATGTCTGGAAGGCACTATAGAACCGGTTAGACTCTGATTTGCTCCCAAGGAGCTCGACGAATTATGGAAGCGGCGTACCTTCGGCGGGTCGCTCGTCAATGTCCACGCATCAGGGGGGTCACCACTTTCTAGCTCTGCTGCTTCAATTTCCTCCACATAATTGGTAATTTGCGACTGAAGCGAGGTGGAAAAGTGGTTGAGATGAGAATGGAGTCCAAGTCTCACTGCAACAGAGCCAAGAAACTTGTTTGACACCATCGCCATCTGGATACATTGTTAGGACATGGCTGAAACGGTGGCAGGGTTGAGGGCCTTACTTTATGCTCTGTGAGCCATTGAGGATCTTTATCTGGATGTTTATGATAAATGTGCTCGACACAGGCCATATCAAGCAAGGCGTCACCGAGGAATTCCAACCTTTGATAACAGGGAACTCTCGCCCACGCACTAGGGTATGAAGGGTGCGTAAAGGCAGACCGTAGGAGCTTTGGATATTTAAAATCGTAACCCAATTTCTTTTTAACTTGAGCTGCTAAGTCAAGTTCTGCGGCATCCACGACAGCTGTTTGATACTTAGGAATTGAGTAGAGCCGAGAGTATTGCTCCCAATTCAAAACGTTATGATCATCGCTACTGACGAGAGCAGTCACCGCTTTAACTGCGATGTCAAAGCGGTGATTCTTGCTGGCTAACAGGCAGCATGCCCCAATCAGAGCTTCACAAACGTCGGCAATAGTTTTATCTGCAAGGGCATGCTTATTCTCGGTAGCACCTTTACTCTGCCCTTTACCCTGCAGCAAGGTCAGGCCTCCTGGATACCAACCTCTCCTATTCCCAAGTCAGTATGTAAGCTACATGGTTCGGGCAAATGGGTATATACCTGGAGAAACTTTGACTTCGTATAAATGCATAAAGCTTGAACCGTACTGCAGTTTTGAAAAGGTTCTGGTTACAGACCAAACACATTCGCTTGACGTGAAAATCATACTCGTCGTTATCTGGATTCATTGCAAATAACGAGATCGAAGTTGCCATTTTCAAAAAGCAATCACCAAGAAATTCTAATCGTTCGTAGTTTTTGCCCATTCCCCTCTGAAAATGAATCTGTTGGGCTCGATGTTCATCGGTGTTATCTGAGTCCTTAGTCAAAGCCTCAAGTGCGAGCTCCGGAGAAATGGGTAGATCCAATTCCTGGCAAGCTTCTAAAGCAATAAGATACGATTCAATACGACTGATTATCGCCGGAAATGCGAAAGCAAAGGCGGCAACTGAAGCTGGTATCTTTCAAGTGTGTCAACCATTTATAGTAGCTCCCGCATCCCAATTTAAACTTACCGCCGAAATCGTTAGAGGCTCAAGACAAATATAATAGTCTCCTTCTTTTATTTTTTCCTTGTTAGTCCGCTTATCCAAAAGATTTCTGCGTAACTGAATTATCTCCGCCTTAATAACGGGTTGGGTCCAGTCGCAATTTTCCAGGAACTTCTTTCTGGCATTTTTAAACAGACTAAGACAGTAGTCCATTATATTGCCCATATGTCGTCGCCGTGCCATTGAAGAGGGCGGAGGGTCCGAGGGTCGAAGACTTGGATCAATTCCGTGTGTGAAGTAGCGGTACCTGCCATCCCATCTGTCATAAACAAATCGATTGGCAAAGAATGCCGCCGAGTTACTTGAGGACCAGGGAATCTCCGGGTTATCAAAAACAAACTGAAGAATCCCCCAGTCCAGAAGATCGCGTGATGCCGAAGAGGAGATATCGCAGCTTAGATTCAAAGGCGCAAGCCAATACGTCATCATTCCTACATCTCGATCATAGACCTTATGAAATATATCCTGAAATATCCGAAGCGTAAAGGTAGTAAGGACCTCCAGGTCATGGCTCGATACTTGGAAACCAGAGCTTATTGAGCTGCAAATAACGTCGCACTCAATATCATCCTCCAGATATAATGGAAATTCTGGAAAATGTGGCAATTTCTCTCGAGTTAAGAGAACCAGTGGATGATACTCCCTGTGCAAGAGTCTTCGCGGGCGAAAACCAAGAACCACGATATTGAGGGAGGTAGGTATGATTCCACGAGAAGTTTCCCACAATTTTGGTTTAACCTTCATATCATATTGATTGCTTTTCTTAGAGGAGATTGCCAGGCGCGCATTTCTCATGGCCGGTAAGCGTTTATGGTATGTGGACACAAAATGATCGTCAAGGAGCCCGTGCTTTCGGAGCAACAAGCATGTTTCAAAAGCGGCAGATTGTTTGGCAATTAGTTTCTTCGAGGCGGGTTTCCCAACTATACCACGTATTGGTGATTTCTCTGGAAGGACAACCTCACAGACAAACGCGTTTTTTGTGAACCGGTGGTAATAGCTCACTACTGTTGAGGTCTCCTTTTCGTATTGCTGAAAATAATGTCAGAGCTTAAGCAACCGAGCAAATAAGGAGGCCTTACCAGGGAGTTAGCAAAATGGGCTAGAACAACCAGGGAAGAACTGTAAGTTAACTTTGCTCCAGTAGTTTGGACAGTGTAGGATTTCCGATTTCGATCACTCTCGTAGAGTGCGTCTACATCATCGGAATTTAGAATGCGATCCTTTGGGAGAGAGATACAGAACCGCTTCATAATTTCCTGTTTTTGCGTGTGATGATTAGGCATGTCTAGGCAAGAATTTTAGGGGAGTTCTTACTTCTGAAGATTGAAGATGATTCACACTTTCTCTGTGAACAAAATTATCTCGCTCCACCAAGTGAGCAAACTAACAGGAGGATCAGCAAAGGTCAAAATCCTGTGACGCAACAGCCCTACCGTTGAATTCATGTGTCTTGCTCGCCCCCGACTCTGGATGTATTGAGTAAGGGTTGACGCAAGGTCAAATCTGCCAACTTGAGTTGAAGAGAAATCCATTAAGTAGCGGCGGGACATGCATACCTGACTATAAGGTTGCAGTCCGGAATATCAAGGCCTTCCTCCGCAACAGAAGTTGCAAACTTCGGCATTGTTAATGGGAATACGCAGTAAATACATCGGCAGTCTTACCAAGCAATTCACCTCTCCTTTTCTAAATGAAACCACTGCCAAAACCTGCTGCCGGAACGATATATTCATGCCGCCAGAGGCATCTGACCGCACCCCTATTAATACTCCTGGCCGAAGATGCTTGGTTCCAATCCTAGAAAAAAGATCGCATAGAATCCTGGCAGTGTGTCGCTGCTCTGTGAAAACGATGCACTTGGTATCCGTGTGTCTCTCAAAATATTTCAAGAGCTCATGATGCAATCTCCGGACTTTGGGGCTGAGAAGTTCAGGTCGAACCGCAGGATCTCCAAATTTATGGGAACGTATTATTTCACTTGCTTCGCGAATACGTTGGATTTCGGCTTCGGGTCTCACAATTTTAGCTATTGGTAGATTGCCCATGGCAGTTCGAGCTGCACGCCCTTCCAGCTTTGGCAATGATTCCTCGGTCAATGCATATGACCAAACCCAATCGGCGCACCAGGCCCCCAGATTTGACGAGGCCTTGAGAGAAAATGTGAAAAGCTTTTCGAGTGCACGTAGATCCCCAAAACGGGAACGTAGTTCTTTGTAAAGTCGCGTTTCAAATGGTTGATCAAGTCGATCATAGCTCCAGACCTCCTCGTTAGGTCGCGGAACACTCTGCCGTAGGAGAGAAAGATTGGACGCCGTCGCTATTTGGCTATTCAACAGTGTCTCAAGGTTTCTATTTTGGGTTAGCATTTTCGAATCACGCGTCTGGAGAATGTCGCGGATAACCTTGCAGCTTTTACCACATCCATTTTGGCATCGACGGGTGATGCTGTCATGCCAAATATTTTCGGCCTTTTAGCGTTTCCATCCTTCAAGTAGAAGTCCTTGACAATCCTATGAGGGCTATCAGCTCTGTATTACCACACATACATTGAGCTTTACCTTGCATAGGGGTGATCTTTCTTTGCATTATGAGCTTCGTCGAAGATCAGCAAGTTGATGTTTTCCATTTTAACAAAAGCATGGAGTAGACACTGATATAGCACTTCAGCAGTGCAAACAATGACCATATTTTTAGCAAGATGTCTTTCCCATGTCTCTCCATTCCACAAGTCCGTTTCCATGGCACCGCAAAATTTATCGACCCTTTGATTGATGTTATTCTGAAGCACTGCAGCTTGTTGGAAAACAAGCGTTACACTATCGACCTACAAGAGAGATTAGCTGGGGAAAGAGTGTTCCGAAAAGATTATATCAAACCAAAAAAAAAGACACTCGATGAGGTTTCTCAGCACTTCGGTCGATCAGCTCTTGCTCAATTATGTGCTTAAGAAGCAACACTGCTATCAACGTCTTCCCAGAGCCTACGCAGAATCAGACTTCCATCGCCAGCCCGTCCGTTAAATTCAATGAGGATAGGAGACAAGATGTAAAGAATGGAGACGCCAATAATACCGGTATCTAGGACAGCAATGATATTGTCCTTCTTTGCCTTTTCGAACAATTCTACCTGATACTCTCGTGGATCATGTATCACGGAGGCAAAGTCTTGCTTTGCAAGGAGATTCGACATAGACAATTCATCGTCCTTCGTCGCTTTGATTACTTCCTTGATATCTTCTGCCGTGATTTCTTCTGCCCGCGCTGATAATCTATACCATAACCCTGTTAGAGAAAGAGGAGGTGAGTGTACTTTTGGGAGGTCAACCAACAGCTCCTTGAATCGCAAGTTTTGCTTCCGGCGAATACTGGGTTCGTCGGCGTTGTTTGGATGGGTATGTTCATCTTCGCTGTCTGATTCTGCAGGCTCGGACGGTCCAGCTGGATCGGGCACAACGGAGTCGTTGGGTTCATCGTTTATCCTCTGCGGCTCCTCCATTTTGCAATCTGAGGTTCCCGTTTAACAAGCCCTATGGTTTGAAGAATTGGCAAGACAGCAATGAATGGAAGTAGAGTTTTTAGGGGAGTTCAGCTTGGTAGAAAAAAGCTGGTTCTTTGATATCACCTTGCAATCTAAACTTGCATCGCAAATCTGTGACCACTGTACTGGATGGAAAGGCCAGTTGATAATTTCTTCGGAATGACTGAAGTGAAGGGTAATCAAAGCAGCCTTAGGCTGAAAGAAAGATAAGGGAGTTTCTTTTGACCAAGGGTTGGCCAAAACAGCTACCCCGCTGTTCCATTCGTGTAAACAGAGGGAACAAGAGAAGAGGGTGTATGGCAAGTGAGGATGAAGATTTCAATTCACCTAGCAATGACCCTTAGATGCATGGCATACAAAGGGTTGACGGCAAGTGCCTGGCTCTTTTCTGTTTGTTGGTTGCTTATTTCAATCAAAAAGTGGTCCTTGGACCAGAGATGAATGTCAAAGAAGGCATGCAGGTTCGTACACCATGTGTTCTGCTGAGCTGGCAGACACCCAGAGCCAATCGGAGGCAGCAGGAATACACATTGAGAGACCTTCCTGATGTGTTGAGCAAGACCTCACTGATATATCCTTTCTATGAACACGTCTACACCTGGTCAGCATGTATCAGTGAATCTTAAAACATGCAAGCTCAAGATGCTTGGAATGGCGGTGGGTCCTGACCATGAATGAAACATTTATTGCCCACATTTTAGTTGCGGCTTGCTTAGGAACTAGTTCCATCACAAGCTCCGACGAGTGTACATACATACCTACCACACTACTCCGTACTCTGTACCCTGTACACTTATCAACATCAAGTTTGGCAACTAACTCGGGGCACTCTTCAGCTATTGCACAACCAGCCCACGATGGACGAGGAACCTAGGAGTCTGCAGGCTCTCTTTACTTCCGCCAAGTCTCAAAAAAAGGCATTGGAAACTGCTACCGACATCAACGACCCCTCTAATGGAGACCAGCTCAATTCCACAATTCAGGCGTTTGAATCCTGCCAGAAACTAATCCATAAGCTCTCCATATTTAGCCCAAATGAGTCTCTGGAAGACATCGCCACCGCCGATTTGCAGTACGATTCCTTTTAATCTTGGGTCGCATATTCCAATCTAACCCGCAGCGCAATCTTAGGTACCTCTCCGTTGGCTACCTTTTCGCTGAACTGCTCCAACGATCACAATATGCAGATCGCCTGAAGAATGTTCAACGCACTCGTGAAGAGTATGAAAGTTTTCTGGAGTTGCTGGATCAGTATGGAATCCTATCTCAATCATATAAGAACCTCTACGAACAATACGTCGAATCTCCGGACTCATTCAGTCTTGCTCCGTCGAACGATTTTGCTGCCCGACGACAAGTTAAAATTGATCGATTTCGCGAAGAAAAGGAGTTAAAACAGAAAATTGAGGTATAAACCTCGAAATGGCCAACGATAGGGTACAATTAAACGATCTACTAACTTCTACACTTTCATGTTATTAGTATCTCTCCCAAAATCAGAAGTCGATAGACCACGATGATGAGATTGTGAGACAGCTATATCTAGCAGAAATAAACCTCTACACACACCACACCTTTCAATCTTTGGACATGCTGTCGCAGGAACTATCTATGCTGAAACTTGCGGCAAAAGCTGCCTCAGAGCGTCCATCCCAAACCCCGGAGGACTCAAGGACACCTGGTACAAGCAGCGCTCCAGGCTATTCGGAGCGACTCGATGTTGGCCTTTCTTCGGGTAGTCGTGGAGGAAGAGGCCCTCTTCTTAGCAAGGGTGGTGTTCCCCTTCAACCTTTCGTCCTAACGAGTCGAAGGGCAGAACTTCAGAGAGGAGTTTTTCGGCCTGGTCACAATTTGCCGACAATGACAATAGAAGAATACTTGGAAGAAGAGCGAAAGAGAGGAGGAATTATCGAAGGTGGGGGTGAACAATCTGGCGCGCCGAAAGAAATTGACGAAGATGACATGAAGAAGGCCGACGAAGAAACGATGAAGGCACGAGCGTGGGATGAATTCAAAGAGGAAAACCCAAGAGGTTCCGGCAACACCTTAAACAAAGGCTAAATAGGAATGCATCATTATTTCCTCTACAATGCTGTTGACCTTTTGTGTCAATCCTTCACTGTCTGACGAGTGTTCCGAGGGACAAGATTATGCCGAAGTTATCTCGCACGGCCGGATCGGGAAATTCTCGCTTTTCAACTCTGGCCATCTTTTTAAAACGAGATCTAAGAGACCTTGGCCGAGAATTTCATACCCCTGTCAACTATAACGTTAGCAGATAAAAGGCATCCGCACAACGTCACTTGCAAAAACCTGCCTTTTCGCCCAGATGGAGGCCGTCAGTGAAATAACCGCGTCCAAATCGTTTCGACCCCGGCATGCCACAGCCTGGTAATATATCTTCGAGATCAAGTTTGTGGAAGATATCACCTGGGTCGCCGTCGCCGTCGTCTAGACACGCAGCCTTGGTGATAATAGTCCAGAAGTCTAAAAGTGCCACTCGTTCCGCCCTTTCCTGAAACTCATGCCCAATTTCGACAATTTTCTTCGCAAATTTTCTTTTCGATTCCCAAGTCCTGTAGCCTCGACCCTTGGCAGCCACATGCCACAAAGCGTCGGCAACCGAGGGGATATCCAAGTCGCTTTCCGAGCCCTCTTTTGGAGGAGGAGGTACGTTGACCGGTGGTGGTGAAATCAAAATGACTTTAGTGCCCTTTGTAGCAGGATGATTAAGGATGCTATTGACATAGTGTCGGATATGTTCTTCGTATTCTTCTATGGGAACGTATGTGCCGGCACCATCTAAACAGGCGTCATTAGCTCCAAGAAATATCGTTATAAAGAGCGGCGCGGGTGAGCCACGCTCCTTTGCCTTGTCAAGGATTCGTTCCTTGAAGATTCTGCGAAGCGACCTTGTCGTTTGTCTTCTCCAACCACGATCAGCAAATTCATTTTTCCTCTATTTCTCTATTTGTAAGGGTAATAGGTGCATAGAGCGTACCCGGCATATCCTATTTCAAACTATATCAGCGGGTGAACTCCACCATGGGCCTTCATGAACCCAACAATGGTAATTACCTTCATTGACAACCTCAACCCGGTCTTTGTAATACTGTTCTAATCTCCACCCAAACCCCGAATCCAATTCCGAACACCCCCATTCCGTTAGAGAATCGCCAAAGAGGTAGACTCGCGGATAATCATCTGGAGCTTGGCTGTCGCGGAGATGATCGATGGATCTGAACATTATCAACAATCAACAGAGTTTCGACTTAGCTGTCAAGCCTGGTCTTAAGCTTGAGGGGTATTTTGGGGATGTGAAGCGGAGCCGCGAAAGGGACTTGGGATGTGAACAATGTATCCGGAAGATTTGAAAGTATCAACGGCCACTATATCCTTGGGTGTTGTGGTTCTGGGTTTTCCCAAGGCAAAGCAGCTTTAGGTCGATAGGCAGCCGTGGAGCGATTTAGCCAATAATACACACACCCGCAGCTTCCATGCTACCTGGGCTGACGAGCAACACGACGACCCCGAGCATGTCAGCTTGAGAAATTGACGGTAGTTACGGAGTACATTGGAATTGGAATATCGGATTTCGACAAGTATGTGCAGTTTAGTTGATACAAACTTCCTGCTTTGGCATTGGGGATCAGGTCTCATCTTGAGTTGTATACATTTTACCTGCAATAATCAAGAAGAAATAAATATCTCCTCGTTTATTGCTCTTTTTTCTGGTTTTGAATATCTTCAAGTATCTTCCCGGCCCCCCTGGCAACAAGCTTCAACGCTACCTCTTTTCCAAACGTCTCCGCCGCCTCGTCCGACTGGACATTACCGTCTTCCTCGATTTCCACGGCTTCCTTTCCGTCAACACTCGTCACGATTGACCTCAATCTGAGGAGATCCTTCCCATTATCATCTTGAATCCATTCCGTTTCAACACCAAGGGGTGCGCTACAACCACCTTCAAGGATTCTCAGTAAACTCCTCTCTGCGAGGCATGTATATGTAGTCTTCACATCTCCAATCTTGTTGAGCATATCTCTCATAACCTCATCGTCGGTGCGGATCTCAATTCCCAGGCCTCCTTGGCCAACGGCATGAAGCATCTTTCCGTTTGTAGAATCCAAGTATTGAGAGATGCGATCCTCCCGACCGGTCCTTAGCAGTCCAGCAGCAGCCAGTATCAAGCAGCTGAATGGCCCATCTTGAGCGTCGAGCTTTGCTAACCGGGTGTCGATATTGCCTCTGACATCCTGAACCTTCAGGTGTGGATAGTGTCGTGCAAGTTGAGCAATGCGTCGGACTGACGATGTTCCTACAACTGACCCTGGTGGCAGTTCAGCCAGAGTCATCGAAGGTAGGCCCTTTTTTAAAACTAGCACATCTCTTGGATTCTCGCGTTTCATAACAGCTGCCAGTACGCAGGCAGATGGAATTTGCGTTGGGATGTCTAGCGCAAAGAAAGATGTCAGCCGCGGATCTTGAGGTTGTGTTGAGACAGAAGCACGATTAACCTTTTAATGAATTCACCACGAGATCTACTTGCTTCGCTATGAGCAATTCCTCAAGTTCTTCAGTCCAGAGGTTTTTCGTCGTGAACGCTCGTAGAGGAGTAACTTTGTTCAAGTCTCCAGCAGCATCGCGACTATGGACTTTGAATTCACAGTCAGGGAAAGCAGCTTGAAGAGCATTTCGAACAAGGTCAGTTTGTACGAGAGCAAGCTGAGATTTTCTTGTCCCGATGGTAAACGTTTTCCTTTCAGTTGAGGCCATTGTGATGGAGGGGGTTGGAGGGGTAAATCGGAAGAAAAAAAAGGAGGTAGCTAGAAGGTGGAATGGGATCTAGCTGGACTTTTTAGTAAAGGAGACTGCAGGTTAAGAAAAGTCTTTGCAACTGTGATGAGAGAATACTGTTTCTAAGGTTCTTCAAAATTCGCAGCTGATGGTTGTCGAGTTGATCAGAATCTGAATGCTCCGTACTCCATACATGCTCTTCACCTCCCACGTTTCGCGCGTTGGGACCCGAACCTTAACTGATGAGGAGGTTGACCATACACAACTCCGGTTACGGCACTTATTCATTGTTGCCCCTCGCTTTCAATTCCTTGCATGCTATTAATTCATCTCAGACGTATTTACGCCACCAATGCCCCAAAACATTCGAGTTTTGCGAGACGGATTCGGCCGTGATAGGTCTTGCACCACGCGGCGAACGCCGACAGGCCAGGCAAGTGTCACGTGAATACACTTTGCCGCCGGGGTTTTGGCCTCTGGTAAAACAAGAAGGCTGCTTACGGTCAGGGAAATACTGTAATACGGTAACCTCGGTATATTGCTGCTGGCACGGTGGCACCGTTTCTCCCTTTCATCTGAGGGGACATTATCCGGTTCTTGGGGATTTTCTTCACATTGTCTTTATAAAAAACCCACTGCCCTTGCTCTTTACGTCTTGATTCACACAGTAGCTGTTGTTCTGATCTCCTGAGATGGCCTCATAGTCATCCTACATAAAAGCCTGCACTCTAGGTCCTTTACACATCAACTACCATGAGTTCCACGAGTAGCCGAACGATGAAGCTCCCTCTTATCCCTCTAGCGAAGGGAACTCTCCTCCTTCCCGGCACGACCTTGCGAATTCCCCTTGCGGACCGTTCCGATATACCAATCCTATTGACGTCCGTATTTAGTCGATCTTCTCAAAGATACAGTAATGCCCCAATTATTGTCGGCTGCGTCCCTCTTGGTTCACCGCTCCTTTCGAAGGACGGTCAACGCTTGCTAGAAGATGGAGAGCATGAGAACGAACGATCCCAAGATACTACGAAGGTTGACCCGGCACGTGCATCCAGAGGGGATTTATTTGGATATGGTACCGTTGCCAAAATCATTGGTGTCCAAGGCCGGCCGAATGCCGAACCGTACATGCTCGTAGAAGGGGCAAAGAGGTTTACAATTCGCAAATTTACAAAGGACAAGCCACATTTTGAAGCCGAAGTTGTCGTTTATGATGAGCCAGGTATGCTTTGCTTCTGTTCATCTGGAATATGATTACGATCTGCGCCTGTGCTGATTGCTCCGGTCTTCCAGTGCCTCATTCCATTGATGCCGAAATCCCAGATCTGTTTGATCAACTCAAACACTTGTCTCGCGAGTTTCTCGCGTTGCTAAGGTTGGCGTCAATGTTCTCGTCGAAGTCAGGCATGTCGCCACTTGTTGCGAGAAGGTTCGAGCTTCTCATCTCCAAAAAGGACCTTTCCCAGGCGGGTAGTCTCGCCGACTTCATGGCAGAAATAGCCGATGGGAGCTTTGAAGAGAAGTTACGAGTATTGGCGTCATTGGACCTGAAGACTCGGCTGGAACGCGTAGTTGAATTGCTTGTCAAGCAGGTGCAGTCCATCAAAAATGTCATCAAAGTTACCACTATCTCCACGACCGGTCTGCCCACAAACATCGGAATCGACATAAATACGCTGGACCCTCGCCAGAGAGAAATGTTTGCAAGACGCCCAGCTGGTGCGGTTATGCCGTTGGGAAAGGGTGATGGCGAAGGGGAGAAGGAAAATAGCGAAATCGATGAGCTCCAGCAGAGACTCCAGGATGCCCAGTTGAGCCCTGAAGCCCAAAAGGTTGCCGATCGAGAACTCAAGCGATTACGGCAAATGAACCCGATTAATGCGGAATATGGCGTGTGCCGTACCTACTTGGAGAATCTAGCCGAAATTCCATGGACAAAGGTGACAGAGGACCAGCTTGGCGTTGAAACATTGCAACGAGCACGGAAACAACTCGATGATGACCACTATGGCCTGGAGAAAATCAAGAAGCGGCTGCTGGAGTATCTGGCAGTTCTCAAACTTAAACAGTCACTTAACAGCGAAGTTGATGCCGAGATCTCCAAGCTGTCCTCTGATCTAAATGCCACTGAGGGGAAATTGGATGAGGGAGAACCAGTACCTGACGCCGAGCGCGACAATATTGAAGCCAAGCTGCATGTGCTTAAGTCTAAGCGAAAGACTGATAAATCACCAATTCTACTTCTAGTCGGCCCTCCTGGCACTGGTAAGACCAGTCTTGCAAAGTCAATTGCGACGTCTTTAGGACGCAAATTTCACCGGATTTCACTGGGAGGAGTGAGAGATGAGGCAGAAATTCGAGGCCATCGTAGAACATATGTTGCAGCCATGCCTGGTCTCATCGTGAATGGTCTCAAAAAGGTTGGCGTTGCAAATCCGGTATTCCTGCTCGATGAAATTGACAAAGTGGGCGGTGCAAACTTCCACGGTGATCCATCAGCAGCGATGCTCGAAGTTTTGGATCCTGAGCAGAATCACAGCTTTTCGGATCATTACATCAATATTCCAATCGACTTGAGCAAAGTATTATTCATTGCAACTGCCAACTCGCTGGACACGATTCCTGCTCCATTGCTTGACCGTATGGAAACAATACAGCTGTCAGGCTATACCACCATCGAAAAGCGACATATCGCGAGGAGACACCTCGTCCCGAAACAAGTCAGAACGAACGGTCTCTCCGAAGGACAAGTCGAATTGTCAGACGACATCCTCGACAAAATAATTACATCATATACTCGTGAGTCCGGAGTTCGCAACTTGGAAAGGGAGATAGGCTCCGTTTGTCGATTCAAAGCTGTTCAGTACGCAGATGCAAAGGATGCCAACAAAGTTGCTACATACAATCCCAATGTCACCATTGAAGATCTGGACGAGATCCTTGGCATTGAGAAATTCGACGAAGAAATTGCGGAGAAACATGCGAGACCTGGGATTGTCACTGGCCTTGTAGCGTACTCGAGTGGTGGCCAAGGCAGTATCCTTTTCATTGAAGTTGCTGACATGCCCGGAAATGGAAGTGTTCAACTGACTGGCAAACTTGGTGACGTCTTAAAGGAATCCGTCGAGGTCGCTTTGACCTGGGTCAAAGCCCACTCGTATGAACTAGGTGTCACACAGGACCCAAATGAGGACATCATGAAGCATCGCAGCCTCCACGTCCACTGCCCATCTGGAGCCATTCCAAAGGATGGCCCTTCTGCAGGCCTCGCTCATACTATTGCCTTGGTTTCGCTTTTCGCGGGTAAAACAGTTCCTCCAGAGATTGCCATGACAGGCGAAATCTCTCTTCGTGGACGGGTGATGCCAGTTGGCGGTATTAAGGAGAAACTCATCGGTGCCCATAGGGCCGGTGTAAAGACAGTCCTTCTTCCCGATCATAATCGAAAAGATGTGCGGGATGTTCCCATGGAAGTGCAGAGCGGCCTCGAAATTGTCTATGTCAAGTAAGTCGTCAACAACCACCCGTCTTTGATTTCTCTCTCATCAGGCTAGCTCCCCGCAAATGCTAACGTTTTGTTTTAAAGGCATATCTGGGAAGCTATTCGACACATTTGGCCCCACGGCCATTGGCCAGGTGAACATCGTCACCCGCTATTTGAAAGCAGGCTGTAGTCCCATTTTAATGCATATCGGAGTGTTCTTCACACCAGATTTGATTAGTCCTTTTGTGTCACGCACATTACATATCGTGATATAGCGACGGTGTTGGAGAGAAGTGGCGATTTTGTCTTGCTTTGAGCGTTGGACTTTTCAGCTCAGTCATATGTATACTACTATAATCATTGCACTCTATTTCTAGTTCTTTATTTCGAGATTTTCCTATCTTTGACCACGTCAATATGATCATGGTAGGGTCCACTTAGTACCAGATGCGTGTAAATCCACATGTCTATTGATACAGTCCTGGCATCTAGAGGCCAAGGAAAAATAGTGTTAGATAATACATATTTGAGGTTGAATATAGCCAGACATCAATCTTAAACTTCAAACGCCGTCAGTTTGTATCCAACTGCGCGTTAAAAGATCCCAAATATCTTCTCACAGCTCTCTGCTGCCATTCGCTGCTTGGATATATATTACTTTTACGAGGACGATGACGTTTGTGAGGACGGTGTTGTTTGTGGTCTAAGCAATGGCCTCTCAAAGTTCAACCCAAGAGTTTGCCACGTTGGCTGCCACGTCTCCCTCCCCTGCTTTAGGCGCTTCGCCTGCTCGGCAAGCAATTCTCTCTGGCGTTCCGGGGCTTTCATGCCGGATTCTGGGCCGTGCGCCTCCTGATAATCCTCCTGCATCTTTTTCGCTTCGAAATAGGTGTCTCGCTCCCACCTGCAAATCAGAACGAGTAGTTAGTTTTTTATCATCTCTTCACGCAAATTGCTTTGATGCGTCAACCCTGTGAGAAGAGGAAACACAGTCATAACATACGGTGAAAAGTCTTTTGGTTCCTCCGGCCACACAAACGGCTCTGTCATTTCCACTGTCATCTTCTTCCTGGCCATCGGCCTTCTAAGTGGACCATAGCCCTCTTTGCCCATTGGTCTCTCCCTTGTGACTTTCTGCTGCTCAACGTAGCTTCGCACCTTGATCACGTCGACGTCATATACTCTTTTCAAGTAATCCTTCATGTCCAGTTTGTTGAAGGACAGCGGAACCCAGAACGAGGCGTAGCGTGGTGGGAGAAAAGGTGTGCGGATTAAGGTTATTGTGAATTCTGGTCTGTATGATGGTTACATTAGCAAAGAATTTTCGAGTTTTCTGAGAATTATCCGGGAATGGAAGAAAGCGCATACAGGTAGACTTGTTTCCGCTGCTCAACGGGAGCTGGAGGTTTGAACCAATTGAACGGGAGGTTCCTGATGCTCGGTGCTCTCGGCATTTTATTATTATATACACGGTGTAATGCCTAAAAACGGAAATTGAGGCGACAAGGGAAGATAATTCGGGCTGCTTGAGCTGGGAGGTAGATTGTCAGAGCGACCTTGCTGTCGCTGGCTCGGCGATGATCTTTTTTGCGGCTTGAGATAAGACTGCGTAGTTTGATGTTGCAGCACTCCGTAGTCAATTAGTTAACTAGTTAACTATTCACTTAGTTAGGCTTTCTCCCGAACATTGTCTGGCAGCCCCTAGTTGGACAGAGTTTTCTACACTCTGAGGTAAAAATCGCGTTTGTTTGCCTTGACAGGGTTTTATCGTAGTGGGAATTTGAAGAGTGTGTCCTAACTACCTTTGATACTTTTTCAGCATCGAGTAGCATAAATGACATGTACGGGATAATTTCATTGTTTGAATTACTCATTACGGCTGCTTATGCGAACTCAGTCCGTATGGAGCACCCCATAGACTAGCTCCTACTCATGACGGCTCTGAAATTCGAAGCCTATCAATTCCTAGGGTATCTTTTGATATTGATGGTGCCTGTTGAGTGCCATCATCTTCTTCCCTCGTATTGAGCGTAGTGCCTCCGTCCTCATCTTCGTAGTCTTCGTCAGAATCCAATTCCGATTCACTGCCCTCATCGCCTCTCTCCCCTCCAGCACCCCCATCAACGCCAACTTCTTTCATATACGCTTCTAAATCTCTAGCCATTTTTCTAGAAAAGCCAGAAGCTTCCACTTCGACGTCCAATCTCACAGCACCGTCTCTGCCAACGAGCTTTTTGGCATCACGGAAAAAAGGCCCCGGCTCATCACTCACAAAGCCAAACCTTCTCTGGAAATACCTTTTGATGCAGTTAACATCTCTATCAAAATACATCTCGGCATTCATGTGATCTGTGGAAACCATTTGCGGAAAGTCAATGATCACAGGCACTAGTTGAAGGTCGTCCAAATCGATTTCTGATCCTTCTGGCTGCTTTCCTTTCGCGGCCTTCTTCGACTCTTCTTTGATTAATATATTGAATTCGTTGAAATCACCATGTATTAGCCCGTATCTTGCGAGACGAAGGATCATATCGATCAACTCAGAATATAATGACGCAGGATCGGGCACCGAAGCGATCTGTCGTAGGGGAAAAGCATCGATCAAGCTCATGACAATAGTATGGCGATTCTGGGCGATTGGCTCTGGCACTGGAAAACCATGTTCCCTAAGTGCCTTCATGAACGCAAATTCCTTAACCGCGGCTAATCGAGACATGTACATCCATGATGCGGACGTGCGATGCCGGAGATAATCCCGATTATTCTTAATCGATCGAAACGAGATTCGACCTAAACGGTGAATTTTCAATATCCTCTGCGTTTTCGAGTTGTCTGCAACAACTATAATATCCGATTCCTTCCCGACGCCAATCTGATTCCCGATTGAATATATGGTCTTCTGTTTCTGGTGGGTGTGGAGCGCGAGGTAATCGAGACCGCCATACGTTAGTCTATATCCGTCATCTATTCAAACCCAGACATATCAGTCCTAGATTTCTTGACAGCCACTATTGTCCTAAGCATTGGGTCGAGTTTACTGCACATTTTGCATTTTTAACTCTCGCTATCAAGTTCAACTTTGCGAGATTCGATATACACTTATGAACGCCGCTGCCACCGCGAAGGCCAGAGAGCTGAATGATCAGAGGTGTAGGGACAACTTCATGATTTCTACTTCCAATTTCGATCTGCGGAGATATAACTTTTGCTCAGAATGCCTCTCATAACGTTGTACGGTGCGGGGGTACTCACGCCTGAAAGAACTCGAAAATCCTCATTCGTGAGGTATCGCATCGCCTTTGCGTCGAGCTTCATATTAACGGACTAACCCCTCACTAGAGGTTGGATATTTCGTATTGATGTATCCCAATGTCCAAATGCAAGACAGCAACCCTGTATTTGCCTTTGATACTCTGAGCTTGACACGACTTTTTCTGTGCTGTCTGCTAGATAAGGCGGCCACAGATCTTATCAATCACGTGATACTCAATAGCCGATCTTCAAAGTGGAATGAATGCCACAATCAGACAGTTTAGCCTGCTACCCAAGGCGTGTATGTTCGGTAAGATCCCTCTCTAAGAAGCCTTTTATTCCGGTGATCCTGAAAGACATAAATCATAGAGCACTATGTGACTTTTCAATTTTGAAATTAATTGTATTGAACACACCTACTTGCCGCAAAACAGGAACCCCAGTTTATCTAGCAGTAATGCAAAAGAAAATACATTTCATCCCATAGAACAATCCAGATCCGACATGCCAAAACCTTATGATGAGCTTTCCCATTCGGGGTTCTACAAAAGGGTTGCAGTTAGTATCTGGTTCAACATTCGCAAAAATAATTGATTTTTTGCTTACCTTTCGCAAAATGACAAGCCCTTCAAGGCTGCTACTAAGACTGATATACTCCTCGTCTTCCAGCTCGGCCCTTTCTCCATAGGACAGGAGGACAGGAGTGCTTTGTGTTTGCCAGCCAGTGATAGTCTTTGGTCTACCAGCCTGGCCCACGACATCCACAGCTTGGCCAACCCGAACGTTCACCTTAAGTGGCTGCAAATCCTCGTCGAGAGTAACAAGGAATCGAGGGTACATGGCGGTAACAAGATAATATAAAAGGTAATGCGAGTCGGCAAGAACGAAATCTTTGGCATCTATCATGGCGACCAAGACGGTGAGTAGACCGGCTGCAGCAACTCGCGATAGAACCTGACGGTCAGTGTGGAATGGGTTGAATGTAAGACTGCCTTTCCCCATGTGAAGGAGACCCTGAGCAATTCGGACCATGAACAAAGAGTTTTGGTCACGGTGATAGTAGCTGGCAAGTTGTCGGAGGAGTTGTGCAAGCCTAGCATTGTTGGTACCCGCACCAAGGAGACCCATCGCGAATATGGCATTGATGGCGACGTCATTGTCATTATCGTGACTGTATCGCGACAAGGTATCATAAACGCCCATTTGTGGGTTGCTTGCGCTGATGAGACCCATAGCAAGAGGAACGGCTTTTCTGATATTTGCAGCCCCGTAGTGCATGAGATGTCCGAATTGCCGGAGCACCATCTCTTGGCCAATATCCTCTCCCATTGCGATAAGGGACAGACCCAGAACGGCATATGACTGAACGAGCTCCTCCCCCTTCTTCTCCTCCTTGTCTTCAATTTGATCATTGCAAATATGGAGAAGCTCTTGAAGTTTTAAGACCGTACCGGTGCCTGCCCAGGCACAAACGGAAGCCAAGACAGAGGTGGGCTTGGCCATCGGGTGATCAATCGCTTTCAGGATATCAAGAATTACCTCGACTTCTTCCTGTCTTCCAAAATACAGGAGCGCAAGTCCAAGAGCCATAAATCTTGTCCACTTGTCTTTTAGCTGAGGTTGTCTCTCTTCGTCCATCAAAGTCGTAGCGATGGCCTCGCTAACCTGATGATTCGAAGAGCCAACAAATACTAAACCTAAGGACACAGCTGCCATAGCCGAAATTTGCATGGGCAATGATGCATCTTCAACAATAGGTAGCAATAGGTCCAACAGGTCCTCTCTGCACGATCCAGCGTACGAAAGACCCAAGCCCATTATCGATGCTACTCTCATCATGGTGTTTTTGTTAGACAAGTTTTCCGCGTCACCGAGGAGAGCAAGTGCGGGATCGGAATCAAGCCGGACACCAGAATTGAGAATACCGATGGCGAGTAATGCTCCCGCCCTGATTTGGTGCTCTTCTGCATATGTGAACTTGTCGATTTTATCCAAACCTTCCTCAACGTTCCATTGAAGAAGCATTCCCATCGATGCGGTGGTCGACATCATACCATCATCCTTCGTTTTCCAAACCCACGGTCCCTTATCATCTTCAACCAACATCATCTTATCGTTGCAGAACCCAGCGTTCGTG